GGGAGGCAGCAGCACCCTGCGGTTGGGCGCCCGCGCCCGGCGCCTCGGCCCGGCACCGCCCGCTGCGAGGCCCGGCCCCGGGGGCGCGGCCGCCCGGGCTTCCGTGTGCCCCGGGAGGGCTCCGGACCGCGAGCTACCGCCGAGAGGCTGCCGACAAAAACCCTTGACCACCAAGGCCAGCCTCTTCCTGAAAGACCCGCTCGCTCCGATACAGGAAGTAGACGGGAGCGAGCGCCCCGGAGCGCGGCGGCGGCGGCGGCTCCCCACTCGGCGCGCGGCGGCGGCGGCGCCCGCCCTGGCCCTTCCCGAGGGCCAGCGCCAGGGGCATGCGGGCGCCCGGGGCATCGCGGCCCGCGCCGCCCGGCGCCTGAGCCCCTCGGTTCACCACCCGCGAGCGGCCAGCGGCATGATCCGACGGGCCGGGGCGCCCGCGCGCGAGGACCCCGCGGGGTAAGTCTGGGGCCGGCGCCCCCTTTCTTTCTGGGTGTCCCGGGACCCCTGCTCCGCCACGTCCTGGCCGCCTCACCCCACTTCGCCGTCCCCGAGAGGACTCGGAGCTCCCGGAGGAGCCCCAGCCGCGGGACCTCGGGGTGCCGGGCTGAGACGGAACCCCTGGCTGCGGCCAAGGCCGGACCCCCATTTCTGCGCCGAAGGGGGCGGCCCTGGCAACTGCAGGACCCGGGGACTTGGCTAAACTTTCAAGCCCAGACGTCACTCGCTGGAAAACCAGCCCGCACGTTCCGCGGCTTGGCAGGCGGGCACATGGAGGGCGTCTCTACCTGTCAGAGCCCGGGCGCGGGGGCTGTGTGGACGTGGCGGGTCCCCGGGCTCCAGTCCCGCCTGAACTTTGGATGCAAACACCCCGCGGTCCAGGTCCCGCCGGCCTCCCGCACCCACCGGCTCCGCCTTCGTCCCCGCGTGCGTCCTTGGCGCTGGCACCCGCCAGGACGCGGGGTGAGGGACCGGGGTCACTGCCACTTCGGGCTCCCGCGGCCCAACTGCTGACCAGCTCGCCTTGACCCAGGACCCTCTGGCATCCCCTCCCCCGCTCCTCTGTCGGGTCCCGGGACGTTGACCTTCGGACTGGCCTTTGCCAAGCCTGGCGCTTGGGGAGGGACCAGGACGCGCACACAGGCTTCGCTTGGCCTGCGGCATCCCAGGGGAGAAGGCGCTGCTTGGAGTGCGTGAAGCCGAACCGGTTTGGGAACCGGGGTGTCTAGTGTCTAGTTTCATGTCTCCCACCCCCCACCTCGCAACCTCGGGCTTTGGGACGTTGCTCTGGGTGTGCTCCGCGGAGGTTCCCTCGCCCCACCCAGCCAGCGGGCGTCCCGGGAAAGCTTGAGGGAGTTGAGGAGGCTCCAGTTTGCAGGCAGATGCCTGAGACAGACTCTTAGAACCTTTCTGGGCGCCAAAGTTGATTGGCGCCTCTGGGAGAGCCATTCTCAGCTTTTCGGTTTGAAAGCCCTGGGCCTACTTCTGTGATGGATACCCAGGGCCGCCTGGCCTAGGTGACCTCAGCTCCCAGGGCCTCAGTTGTCCGCTCTGTAAAACAGGAAGGTTGGGTCCATCTTGTGCAGTCCCGAATTGGGGGAGGGTCAGCTGGAGGTGCCTGGCTCCCACTCTAGTGGAAGGGGTGCTTTGGAGGGGCCCTTAAATTCATCTAGATCTGAATGACTCTCTCCTCCCCGCCCCACCCCCATTGCCACTCCGGCCCGGAAACTCTGCCTGCGTGCTTTCTTTCCCTTGGACGTGACCTCTGGAAAAACAAATGCCATCCTGTAGGAGGAACTGGGAATTCCGTTGGGGAAGGGACCCCCTGGCTAGGGGCAGGTCTCTGCCACACCCAGTATTGCTGGGCGGAGGCAAGGAGGAGCTTCCCTGAGAGGAAGGGGTGCTGAGGGGCCAGGGTCCTGACCTTTCCAGCTTCCCGTTTTGCCCCCAGAGATGACCCGAGCCTGACCCACTTCCTCTTGCCTTTCTTTGTGCATTACTAGGCCAGTTATTTAACCTCTCGGTGCCTCAGTTTACTGATCTATAAAATAAGGACAAGTAACAGTAACTACCCCTTACAGTTATTTTGAGCATTAAATGAGATCATGCATAGAAAGAGCTTTGCACCTTGGCCTTAGGGTAAACTCTTAATAGCTATTATTACTATTATTATCGTATGTTGAGTGCAACCCCTCTGTTTGCCAACTGTTTAACCTTGGACAAGAGACCTAGCCTTTGCCTTATCTGTAAATTGGGGGTAATAACAGCACCTACTGATAGGATTGTCATGAGGATTGGATGAATGAATTTTAAAGTAGCTGCCCGTGAGCAGGTTAACACATCTGCTCAGTCAGGCCTTCTTTGAACAGCGCCTGGCACATCCTAAGTGTTAGATGAACATTGGTTTGTTGCTGAAAATGTTGCTTTAGTTAAGAGGACCTTTTCAGTTGGAAGGGTTCCTAGTTAGTGCCTCATTTAGGAATCCCTTTGACCACATTTCTGAAAGGTCCTTGCATACACCTCCACCACTGCAGCAGTCTTTCTGATAGGCAGATACCTAAGAAAGAAATTCCTGAACTTGAGTTGCAGCCTGCCTCCCTCTAACTTCTACCATCTGAAACCCTGTTCTCCCCTCCGGATCCCAACCCTTCTTGACTCAAATACTAGAAGACAGTTCACAGGTGCACCTCCACATCCCCTGTTACCTGGGCTGCACACCCACCTGTGTTACAGTGCCCAAAGATGATGAGGAGCAGTCATCTATAACCCCTCACCCCCATGCCACCCCCACACCCTGCTGGGTCCCTGGTCCTCAGCTGAGCTCAGCTTTCCACCGGGCTCCCCAAAGCCTCCCTCCTCACTGGCAGGAGATGGGTGTTGAGAGTTCAGACAGTTGGGGAAGCCCCCCCCCCGCTTCCCCCTAGGGGCTAAGATAGTGTCACATGGGTGCCAGCCCCCTGAAATAGGAGTGTGAGGATCTTGGCAAGCAAGCTCTGTCTACTTCTTGTTGAAAATGTTGGCTGGGGAGAAAGAAAATGCCGGCAGACTGCTTATCAACAAATCGTGTCTGTGTTAGGTGGAGGCGGGGGCCCAGCATTAAACCCAGCCCCTGCCTGCTTGCAGAAACAGAAGGTCAGGGTAAGGGGTGTGGGGAACCCAGGGGGTCTGTTCTGGGGCAGGTGGTCAGGGCAGGCCACTCCAAGGAGGTGGCATTTAGCAGAGGCCCGAGGGAAGTGGGGAGAGTGAGGCAAGACAAGACCTGGGGAGATGCGGTTGGCCTGTCGGGAGCTGCAAGGCCAGGGAGGCTGGAGTGGAGTGGGGGGGATGGGGGCCTAAGAAGCCTGGCGGCATGGGGGAAAGAAAGGCTTTGGGGACTGCTCTGAGTGAGCCAGGGGCCACCTGGTTTGGTTTGGGACTGTACTGAGGACGGACCACAGGGGGAACAGAAGCATAAGCCGGGAAACCCGTAGGAAGTCTCTGCGGTGGCTGGGAGAGGGGGCTGGTGGCCTGGATGGAGTGGGAGTGGAGATGTGAGAAGCTTGAGTCACAGGATGTGCTGATGGATTGGAGGGGGAGGTGGGAGAGAGACAGGCACCGAGGAGGATTCTAGTGAAGCCGTGACAGCCAAGGGGCCAGATGCCCAACGGGGTGTAGGGGTCGCTGAGGATGTGTGCTCTCAGAGATCGCCCTTTCATGTGTGTGATCAGTTGAGGGTGTGCTTAAGATTTCATTTGAAAAAGGACTCCACTCTTGGGAAAAATATGGCCATCACAGACCTAATCCAATCCCCTAATTTACCGACAATGAAATGGAGACCTGAAAAGAGGAAGTGCCTTACCCAAGGTCTTGGGAGCTGGAGGTGGAGCTGGGCCTGGAACTCCGATCTCCTGAGCCTGGGGTCTGCAAGGGGCTGCCCGGACAAGGCCCCAGGGTGTGGGAGAGCCCTTTCTATCTCATGCCTGACATAATGCAGGGGTCCGCTGAACATATTGAGAAGACCCCCTCAACAACCCAACCTCTAAGACAGAGGGCTCTTTCCACCCATGATGAATTCAGGATCCCAGCTCCCAGCAGCAGCTCTGCCCACTGACCTGGGCCTCCTTGCTTTCAGGGGCCAATGCTCCCAGGTGGGCCTGGCTGGCACCCAGCTAGGAGACCCACCCCCTTCCAGACCTTATGAGACTCTGGCCCACAAGTATGAAGGGTTCACTCACCAGCTCAGACCTGCATTTCTGGCCCCCGACAAGCCCCAGTATACCCCTTGGGAGGCATGAAGGAGTACAGGAGGCGGGGGCACAACATCTACTTGGGATGTCCCCCGAGACCTCCTTCCCATCTCCTCCACCATGTGACAGGCCCTGTCCTGGGCCTGGAGCCCTTGTTCAGTCATCTTTTCTGAGGAAGCAAGTGTAATCAGCTTAAAATGTAATAGGGACACCTGCATTTTAATCCAGGGGGTCAGGAAATCCAAAACAGAAACCAACTCGGAACAGGTGTGACATTTGAAGGGGGGAACCTATCCCCAGGCCCCTCACTTCCCTATCTCCCCCAGGCCCCTCGCTGGCCTGTGGCACCTCCCAGCCATGGGGTCAGAGCAGACGGAAGGAAAGAATGTGTGACAGACCACCACCAACTCCATCCTACTGACCCCTCGCAGATTCCACTGTCATGACGACATTCCCCCAGGAGTGAGAGTCATCCCCTCAGTCCCCGTAGCGCGTGTCATCCAGGCAGTGACACTTGAGCAGAACTGGCAGCCATGAGGAGGGGAGGACAGGCTCGGAGGCTAGAAGAGCCTGAGCAAAGGCTGGAGGTGGGAAAGTGCAGTGCGGGGAATTGGGAGGGAGGGAGTCTGCCTGTCTGTTATCAGATCACCAGGACCGAGGAAGGGAAGTTGGGGCCTGGGAGAGACTGAAGAAAAAGGGCAGGAGTAGGAAGGGGGCGCCCGTGGGGGTTACTCCAGGGGCTTGGGGCACCTTGGTGCCCAGGAAGAGCTCTAACATGGGGGAAGTGACCCAGAAAGGACCCACACTTCATCTCCCCTAATCTGCCCTCCATTAGGGAGTCACCTTTAGAAAGGAGTGAGGGGCCAGGATTCGTCCTGTTCTTGGCCAGTAAGTTTAGAGACAGCGCTGCTCTGATGGCCAGTTCTAGAGCTTCTCAGCTGATGTAACTACTACCCTGAACCTGCTGTTTATCCTACGACCCAGGGGCATCCGAAACATGGGTGTTTTCTCCAAGATTGGAGCTAAAGGTGAAAATCACAACTTGAATGGCTTTTCTAAACTGTTGATCTCCCCCTCCCATGGAGCCAGTGCACAGCTTCACTTGTTCTGTCCTCCCTGACAGGCAGAGCTGCCCACAGCCTCCCCCAGCATGGAACAAGGAGGGTGGCCGGCCACCCAGGGAGTTGAATAGGGACCCTGCAGAGCCCCGCTGCTGCCTTCATTTTACCCTCC